CCCCTCCGCTCCGCTCCGCTCCCCTCAGGGAGGCGAGAAATGCAGGGAAGAGGTTGGTGATGGTGACTCGGGGCTGTCGCCGGCCCGGCTGGCATCAGCACAACCCTATAGCCCTGAGACACTGCCGAGTGATGGAGGAACTGAAAAGAACCACAGCACACACCTGCTATAAGTTTTATTTACAGAGGAATTGTTACTAGTGGTCTTAGAGGAAGGCTTGATCCTCCTATTTACAGTTATATACAGATTTATAGTTGAAAAGTAAGAAAACTGTACAAGATAACACAAAAATATAAGACAAATTGGATCCAATTAAAGTAGTGAATACATAAGTTAAGAAAAATCTGACATTTAAATTTCAAATTGTAATGTTATGAGTAGCATATATGTAGTTTTTAAACCAGATAGCCATGTAAGTTACACCACACTAAATCTTTACCCCAATTATGTAGACTCTGCTTTTAAACACCAGACAAGTGGAAGCCTCCTGTACTTAAAAAATACATAACGGTAATTTTGACTTGATTTCCACAAAGGGACCAGCTACAAAAACCCACATGTAAGGAACTTATTTACATTAAATATTAGCAAAAATGGACCAAGAGAGTGTAAGTGTTCCTCACCCGCCATGCTATCCATTTTAGATTTCCATCCCCTACAATCACACGTTGTTGTACAACATCTTCGAGAACAGGAAGTGTTTGAAAATATCTGCCGTGACACATACAATATGACCTTATGTCTCACAGTTAAAAGATGTTAAAAAATTAAGTATCACTAAACCAGACGCTTTTTGGATTTCAGTATTGCACACCAATAAATGATAGTTTCAAAAACAATTCTGTCTCTGCATTATTCTGAAGTGTTAAAAGTGGCTGCTCCTTTGACAACACAAAGTCCACAGATAGCTTTGTCAGTTTCTAGTGTTCACCATTACATCCAAGTATTTCTTAGTAAGAAATGGCTCAACAAAATAAAACTTCTGGTGGCAAAACCCTTTCACAGAATACCCACTCCATTTTTAATAAGCTGCACAACCAATACACCAAAACAAATGCTTAACACTGCTCACTTTGAAAGCTGTACACTCCGAAATAATAGCCCTGATCTTACCACTGTTTAAAATTCAGATTATTTTTGCTCTAACAGGTTTGGGCACAATAATTCCACAGTTCCTGAGTTAATTACATTTGCCCAAACTGAAGAATGAAGCTGCAACTTAAAAAAAACCCAAGTAAATAAGAAAATAATCCTTCCCAAATTTTAACCATCTTGCACGTAAACACACCAAACAACCTTATTTGGTCCTCAATATTTTCAAATGATTAATTTTGGAGGTAATATTTGTACCAAAGCATTTGGTTTGGATAGCAGTTTTGGGGCCTTAAGATTTAGCATTTCCCTCATCCCCCCAAAAAAGTGCTTTTGTGGTATTTGTAAAAAAAGTTATGCCTCAAAAATTTTTTTTAAAGTACCAACAGAAGTTATTACAAATGTTTATTGCATTGAGCTGATTCTTTTAAAGTATTAAATATGAACTCTCCCGCTTCTCAGTTTCAAAGGTTTTAGTATTCTGTGTGAAAACAAATCTTCCCACAACAAAAGCTAATACTGGCAAAAGGGTGAAGATTTCATCAGTTCATTACTCCACTGAGAGCTGTGTCGGTTTTCTGTCTCATTTTCACATTTTTCTATAGTGCTTTTCCACACAGAAGTGATGTGAAAACTCCTTTGTCTTCAAGTGGTTTTCCACATTTTCAATTGACCTCAACGCTACAATGGCTAGATTTTCAGTGCTGGGCTATGGTTCTTGTCCCCTTCTTTGTTGTCCTTCATCAGTGAGGCAAACACCTGGAAAAGTAAATTATTTAATGAATATAAAAAAAGCCAGTCTTATAAAGAAGATCAATATTAAGCATCACAATACTGGCATGAAGATTAATTTCTAGAATGAGATACTAGAAAGGAATCGGGCATTGCTCAGAAGCCAGACATGCAGCATGAAGTCATTAAGAGAAATGTCCCATATTTTCATGTGCTGACATGTCTATTTTGAGCCATACATAACCAAGAAACTCACCTGTGCCCATTTTTTGTTACTATTCTGCATCTGAATAGCTGCAATACAACTAAAAAGCTTTTCTGATGTAATGTCTTCTGGAAGTTTTGTTAGAAACTGTGCTATATGAATAAAGTCCATCTGTAGGAGAATATCTTCATACAATCGAAGGATTCCTAGCCCTGTCCTAAACAAAAATTCTTCTCCGTCTCTACAGAAAACATCCCAGACACGACAGGCCAGATCAAGTGGTAATGACTTGCTGTAGAGTGTAAAAATCCTACAATTGAGAAAAAAGAAAGGCACAGTTATAGCTTTAACCTGTTTCAGAAAAATGAAAATACAACCTCCTTTAAATCTGAGATACATTTGCTGAGAGTGAGCAGATGACAAGTTATTTTATATGTTCTTATTTTTTCCGTATTTCAAAGATCCACAAGTCTCCAGTTTTTGAAGTCAGAACTCCTACTCTGAAAGCCATCTTTTCATTCTCCATTTGAAAGCCACCTCCTTTAGGAGGCTCTGGCTAGAGAAGTTACAAACATCTTTACACTCAAACAAGGTATAACATACAAATAAGAACTTAACCCTTCCCATTCCTTAAGCCATACAGTTTAACAGCTCTGTTTTTCATGCTTTCTAAACTAAATCTAAAGCCACAAATCATCCCAATAGAAGGTTACATCCCACTAATGTACTAATGAGAATTTGATAACTACATTTCCATGATACATTTTTAATTTTTATTCACGTTAAAAATTGACAAATATCTAAAGACAGTCGCTGTTCTGTTCTTAGTGGGAAGAGTCCAACTGCATTTCTTATTGCAAAGTTTATTTATAAAAAGCATTCATTGTACACGGGCAGAGAGTTCAGTCTGCTGTATGTACCATATCATAGAACTCCTCCCATAAATTTATAGTGGTTCCTTTGATACAAAGCACAGTGTTCTCTGTTCAAGTAGTTCAGGAATCTCAGAACATTCTTTACTACAGACTCCAATAACCTCTTCTACTTTCCCTTTTTAAGGGGAGCTCTCTCCATCTCAAGGCCACCTTTAGAACATGTGCAGGAATAACAAGCTTAATTTTTCATAGGTAACTGGAAGCAGAATATTCTAGTACTTTGTACAGCAGTGCTGTTTCCACAACATATATACCTCTCTCGATCTACTTAAACTCTCAGGACTGCAGCACGCTCCTGACTCAATACGGCTACTGTATAACCTGCTCCTGCTGAGACTTACTGCTTACTGATAAGCTGCATCTTACAGCCAAGGTTCTTCATTCCCAAGTACTCAGCTAACATGACATTTTTATGTTATTTAATTCTACCCAATTCAATTTATTTTATCAGAAACTTCTAACCCATATAATAATCCTATATGAAGGACATCCTTATCCACACACACTTTATATGAATAGACATTCTGTATTTGGCAGCACTATGCTGCGAGGATGCTTGCACCACTGCCTTCCATTACAGGCATGTAATGTAGTTTGGTACTCTATACTTTAGAATGTTCATTACTTCAAAGTGTTCACTGTATTTCCAAGTTTATCCCTTCCCAAACTAGGTCCTAAATTTCATCTTCCTTCTGGAATTAAGTCTATATTCCTATATTCGTACTTTCTACAGTAGCTGATTATGTTCATTTCATCAAGTCACTTACAGTCACTCAATAAGACAACTATGGTGTAGTAGCCTCCTCTCCCCTACTTAGGTTACACAAAGCTGACTCTTACCTTCAGCAACAAGAAAATGGGACACACAGAACTCCTATGTGTCTTATTTTCTATCTGAATAGATGTCAGTCCTAATCCCAGTTCATAAAATTTGAATCCTACCAGAGGAACTGCAGTTGCACAAAACAGTTCACCATGATTTCACAAGACCTAGGAAGCGGAGGTACACAAACACCTACTGAATGCTTTTTTTAATGCTGTATTTCTACTGCTGAAAAACCTATAGCAAAATGGAGAGTGTTCCAACAGTTGTAAAGTTATGTTTGCTATGTTCCCTGAACTTACCAGTCTATCAAATATATGTCTGGAGTAAGACTGTAAGATTTGAAATGAAGAAACAATTTGGGAAGATTTTCTTCAAAGAATACTTCAAAGGCTGCAAAGTATTTCAGCATCTGTAGAGACAGTAAAGCACCTCATAAGCAGTCATCAAAAGAATGTTTAGTTCTAAAATAGCAAACGCCACCAAAAATTGAGGATGTCAGCATAGCACAGTGTGACTTCTTAGGATAAGTACAACAATTAAGTGATTCTAGAGGAATAAAACAAAACAGTAGAACGTGTTCTATGGATTAGTATCTGGTATTCTCAATTTTGTAACCCCAGGTTAGAGTTCTCCATTATTCAACAGGACAAAAGGAAGTCATCAATAAGCCAACCATGCTTCAAGACAAAATAATGTTATGGTTCAAAAGCAGAAAAATCTGTGCATACCATGCTGTGATCCACACGGAAAAAGGCCAGCTGGCATGGCTTGTTTAGAAGATTAGCAAAGGCAATGAAAGCATCTGCCTCTTCCAGATTGAGAATGAGCACAGCAGCAATGAAGGACATCCCTTGTACCTTCAAGTGGGAAAAGCATCGGGCAAATATAGGTGAGAAGGTTCAGTACATCTTACTTCTTTGGAAATGCAAATATTTACAGTTTGCAATATATCAAATACCATTGCATAATGTTTCCAAATGACCTCAAGCAATACAGATAAATAATTTCTATGCATGTAGTTAATTTTATGCATGCAGAGATCGAGTGTTTCTTCAAATGCTGGTTTTAGGTGCTTGATGGAAGTTTTAGGAGGTCTCATGATCACAAGTCCTTGGGCCTTGGAATACAAGAAAGTTAAAACCACACAGGCTGGACGCAGAGCTCGTAAGAGACAAAACCTGGCCTTATTCCACTGTTAAGCTATGGGAAGAGCAGACATGGAGAAAAATCTCACATATGGGACAGTTTAAACTCAGACAGATATGTTGGAATTAAGACAAAATTCTGCTTGAGAATAGTCAATACATATCTTTCCACTTGCCAAACAGTATTTGTTCACGTACATAAAATTACTTTTAAGTGGTTAGCTACAATGCAAGTTTACAGTTTTCCATGATTACTCTTTCAAAAACACTTTAGCCTGCAATAAAAGTGAAGAGCATTATTCTTGTAGTTGTTAACTGATGATCTGAATATTTATCATACTAAAATAATTTTACCAATTTCAACAGCAATGATGATTATTCTGTTGTTTCTAGGCATTTATGCTGCCTGCTCATTTAAAAAATGCATTCAGTATTTTAACCAACTAGATAATAAAGTATTGATATGCATTAAAACCAGTCCTGCAGCTTTCCATTTTTGTGGGATAGATGGGTGTGGAAATAAGATTACATTAAATTTACTGCTATATTAACATTTAAAAATAATAAATTTAAAAAATTATGATCAGTAATATTTTCAGGCTAGCTGAAAATAAAAGACCTATCAATGAAAAATTACTTATTTGCCTTTTAAAACTCCACCCTGGGAACAAGCAGTCTCAGAGCCTGCAGAGTTTGTAATCTCATTTAAAGAGTATGGGAGGATCTCCAAAAATGAGATCACAGATGACCGAATTCAGAGCTAAAAACATCCGAACATGAAAAACCAACTAGATATTGATGCAGAGTCCCAAGCACATCTGATTTAGAGAGAAAAACACACCCTGTGCTAAATAATGCTTTGTTGCATGGATCAAACTCAAAACTCTTCAAGTTCTTTTTAGCCCAGAAGCAATCTGAGCTTGTGAAAGGTGTTCCTAGCTACCGCCAGGAACAACGAAAGAAAAAGAAGAAAAAAAAAATCATCTGTTTGTTATTTAATTGCTTCTGTAAGCACTCACCATTGAGAGAGATGTTCGGTTTACTTGATTTGCTTGTGGGGTTTTTTGTCAGTTTTTCCCACAGGTTTTGGTTGTTTTATTTTAAAAAACAAAGTAATGTTTGCTGCAAAGAATCTTATCTTCATTGAACTCAGATGGAGTGATTCATCTTTGACAATGAGACACCAATAGGGAGTTTCTGGATTTTAGGATGTGCAGTAATGAAGCAGAGTATCACTATCGAAATGGCAGCAGTGGGAGCAACACTAGGACAGAACAGGCTCACTAAAAGTCCGTTAGTGTTTTGGGGTTGGTTTTTTTTTTTCTGTAGATACTGTGGGTCTCTCAGAACTATAATACCTTGTGAACACATCCATTTAAAATTTTCCATGCAAGCCAAACAGTATACTCATCCTTGAAACTCAGTACATTTTCAACTATGTAATGATCTCTAAGAATTACCATAATTTTAACTGCTATGAAATGAATAAGTGTCAAAAGTTGAATTTTTTTTTTAAGTGCTAGTTTAGATAAACTACTTACTTAATACAATCTACTACATGACATCTTAAGCTTATTTGCCATGTTATAAACATTTTACAGCAAATACTTACATATCCCACATCTGGTCTGTAACATGTATATGCTCCTAAAACACTATGCAGGAGATCATGATAAGGACCACCCTAATACAAGGGGAGGGAGAAGGGGGAAAAGGGGG